TAAAAACTATAAAATATTGCTGAAAGAAATTAAAGAAGACCTAAATAAACTGAAAGATATATTACGTTCATGGATTGGAAGATTTAATATTGTTAAGATGTCAGTACTACCCAAAAAGATCTACAGATTCAACATGATCCCTATCAAATTCCAACAACTTTTTTTTTTTTTTTAACAGAAATGTTAAGAACCAATCCTAAAATTTATAGGGGTTTCAAGGAGCCCCAGCAAAAGTAATCTTGAAAAAGAAGAATAAAATATAAGGACTCACACTTCCCAATCTCAAAATGTAGTATAGAACTACAATAATCAAAACAGTGTAGTACTAGCATAATCATAGACATATAAGCCAAAGGAACAGGATTGAGAATTCAGAAACAAACCCATACATCTATGGTCAACTGATTTTCAACAAGGGTGCTAAGTCCATTCAATGGGGAAAGAATCGGCTCTTCAATAAATAATCTGGGACAATTCGATTTCTATGTGTAAAAGAATGAAGCTGGATCCATACCTCATATCATACACTTAAATGAACTCAAAAGTGAATCAATGACTTAAATAAAAGAACTAAAACTGTAAAACTCTTAGAAAAAGAGAGGTGCACAAGAGGTATAGACAACTTTTATGTATACAGTACTGCATCATCAGTAGTAACAAACATTCATCTACAGGTAAATAGATGGATAGACAGGCTGAATGATCAGGTATTTGGGCAAAAGGGAATATATCGATGACCATATATAAGTCTGGCAGACGATAGTGCTAATACATATTTGTATGTGCTATAAGAATATCCACATATATCTCAACAGCAGTGGGTTATTGACCATTTGTAACTGTCAGGGTTCAGTGCAGGAAAACAAAAGTGCTCTAGGTACTTTAAGCAGAAAAAAAGGGATTTGATACAGGGAATTAGGTGCTTACATAACTGTTGGAGCAGATGAAAGAAGAGCAATCAGGAAGCTGTCATAGCAACTATGGCTTTCAAGAACAGAACACACCAGCAAGCTGTGCTCAGAAAGCAGCTGCTGCCATGGCTGCAGCCACCATCTCCTACGACCATGGTCTCCACACCTTGTCCAACAATGGAAACAGCCAAATAGCAGAGCAAGGATGGCTCCATATCTACTTTCCATATCACACGAAAAAGCAGCTATTATTGCAACTTACTTTGCACCCCAATTCCTAGCTCCCAGGGATTCTGTGCAGTGCTAGATCTGGTCTTTCCAGACTCTGCAGTAAAGGCAGGCATACCAGAAGGAAGTCAACCAGATAGCTGAAGCCATTCCTGCACCCACCACATTTCCAGAACCAAGAACCGTCTTTGGCACATGTTGGTGCCCAGTCATCTGTCTGCTTTGAAAGTGATCTGTCTGGGAGACAGGCTAGCTGTGACACAGTGTGTTCTACAACAAGGCCAATGAAACAATTCTGAAAGCAAGACAGCAGAAGGAATTCTTTGATGAGCAAGACAGAGAAGGACTTTACAAAGGACTGCTATTCATCATCCACCACTGGTCTGTCAGTCTGTCATCCTGTGGTGGCTTGCCAGTTGCTATGAGGCTGGAAGTGATGCCACTGGTATTTCAAATACCAGCAGGGTCATGCATGGTGAACAGGGTTCAGTAGAGGTTCCAGACTAAGACAGAGTAGGAAGGAGGACCTGATGACCAACTTCAATAATCAGCCAATGAAATGCTTGTGGAACACAACAGAAAATGTCTGGTATGGTGCTGGAAATTAGCCCCTATGTTAGAAGACACTCAAAATGCACTTTGGCTGCAGGAATGCCCCAGAGCTTGCCAACGATCATGAAGCTAGAACAAGACCAGGCAACATTTTATTCTGTTCTACATGGGATTTCCATGAGTTGGAGTCATGGCAACAAAAAACCAGTATTAATCAAACAACAAAAACAACACAATTAATCATATATAATAGTAAAAGATACTTAGATATGAACTCAGGCAATTTTTTCAGTTTCTCTGTCTGACCTCCTTCCCTTTTCTTATATGGTATTAAGGCAGAATGCCATTAAAAAGGCAGACATTTGTTAATGAGTTTTCATTCTCTCAGTTGTACCAGCTAATGTCTTTGGAATACTACCCTATGCACTGATTCCCTCTGATACAATCTGGTCCTATTGATGTACAAAGTTTAGGTAACATGAGGTCACCAAAGTATTGTAAAGAATTTACTGCTCCTGCTTTACACATCAGACTCTCAAAGAGTAGATGAGACCACTAGATATGGTGTAAGAGACCTTTTCTTCTGTCCCCCTATTATCCAGAGACTGCCATGGCTATGAAGGAGAGTGCTAAGGAAGCTGGGAAATATGTGACATTCCAGCTGATGGGTCCTTGTGAACACCTCTCTCTAACATTGGCCTTGGGAGAGACACTGCTGGTTTCTTACTTGTGCACAGTAGATGCTGTGTGATCAACAAATTCTAATACTCTTCAAAAAAAAAAAAAAAGAATGTCCACATATATAATAGAGCTAAGAAGGGACAGAGCTATGATAACTTCTTAGCCACAGCCAACTATCCCAAGGGAGCAAGTTATTGGGCTGGGGGGCTTGGGAACATTGTAGTTGCATAGGCCGTCAAGCTCAATTGGCATAACATACTACACCAAAACATTTTTCTACATCCTACTTTGGTGAGTAGTGAGTGGAGTCATAAAAGCTTGCAAGCAGCCATCTAAGATGCAACAATTGGTCTCTCCTCATCTGAAGCAAAGAAGTATGAAGAAAACTAAAGAAGCATGGAAACAATTAGTCCCATGGACTAGTGGACCATGTGAACCTCAGCCTACATGACCCTGAAACCAGAAGAACTAGATGGTGCCCAACTACCACTGTCAACCACTGGGAAAGGGATGAGTGTAGGAGAAGCTGGATAGAGTGGGAGAAAAACATAGAACAAAACTAAAAACCATAAAAAGGCAGGCTTATTAGTATGATAGAGACTGCTGAGACCTCTGAGACTTTGGCTCCTAATCACCCTTCAGGTCTGGAATTGAACTCACTCTCTTGACTTCCAGCCAAACAATAAACAATCCGATAAGGTGAACATTTACACCAGGTAAGCACTCCTTAGAACAATTAACCATAGGAGATCAGAAGGGCAGTATTTGCCAGGGAGATAGCTCAAAGGGCAGGGATACCTGAGAAAGAAGGACACAGGGAAAAGGTAACCAGCCAGGGAGAGAGTATGGAGATTGCAATCCATGTCATAAAACAAAACGTGTATGAACTGTTGAATGGAAAATGAATTTGTTCTGTAAACTTTCACCTAAATCACAACTTTAAAAAATTCTTAGGGAGAAAAAAAAAAAGAGATAAAGCTTTGGGACTTAGTTTTCAGCAATGGATTTTTTAGCTATGACACCAAAAGCACAAGCAACAAAAGACAGAATTGTACTTCATCAAAATTAAAAACTTTGTCCATCAAATGACCTTATCGATAAAGTAAAGAGAAAACCTGCAGAAAGGAAAATAAATATTTAGGAATCATATAACTGATAAGGGTTTAATATCCAGAATGTATAGTTCAACAACAAAAAGACAAATGAACTAATCAAAAAATGGGCAAAAGACTTGAATAGACATTTCTACAAAGAAGATAAAACTGATAACTAGATGAAAAGATGCTCAATGTAATTTGTCATTAGTGAAATGTCAATAAAAACCACAATGAGATACCACTTCACATCCACTATTATCAAAAAAATTGAAAATAACAAGTGTCAGCAAGAATGTGGAGAAACTGAAACCCTCAATCATGACTGGTAGGAATGTAAAATGGTGCAGATGCTATGGAAAACAGTTTGGCAGTGTCTCAAAAGCTAAATATAGAATTATCTTATGGCCCAGCAAATGCACTTGTAGGTACATACTAAAAAGAACTGAAAGCAGATACTCCAAATAGGTATTTGTACAGCAATGTTCATTGCAGCATTATTCACAATAGTCAAAAGATGAAAACAACCCAAGTGTCCATCAGCAGATAAAGGGATAAACAAAATGAAGTGTATACATACAATGGAATATTAGTCATCCATAAAGAGAAATGAAGCTCCGATTCATTCTGTGACATGGATTAACCTTGAGAACATTATATTGAGTGAAATAAGACAGATACAGAAGGCCAAATATTATATGTTTTCCACTTGTATGAAATATCTATAATAAGGAAATGCATGGAGACCAAAATTCATTTGTGGTTATCAGGGACAGGCAGAGGGGGAAACGGGGAGTTAAGATGTACTGAGTTTCTGTTAAGGGTGATGAAAAAATTTCAAAATGGATAGTGATGAAGTTCGCACAACATGGTGCATGTAATTAATATCACTCAATTATACATGTAACAATGGCTGAAATGGCAAAAGTTTTGTTACATATATTTTACAATGAAAAAATCTTTTGAACAAGTAGTATTTACTATCTACAAACTCTAACAAATGTCTACTGAACAAAGGTGTGTAATATTCTTGAAAGATTCCATTTAGAGGAAACAGGGGATTCTTAATTACATCAGTACACCTTCCTTTCAATAAACGCAACACACAGCCATCAAGTTGATTCCAACTCATAGAGACCCCCACTGGGCTTCCAATGTGGTAAATGTTTAAGGAAGTACATTGCTTCATCTTCTTTCCTCAGAGCAGCTAGTAGGTTTGAACTGCCAACCTTCAGGTTAGCAGTCAAATGCCTTAGACACTATACCACCAGAGCTCCTAAATTAATTTAACAGAGGATTACAAATAACTAAAATAGAGAAACAAAAAAGAAAATGACAATGGTCATGCATTGAGAATTCAAGAATGAGAATTCTTTCCCAAGAAGGTTCTCTTAAGAATGAGACTATTGCAAACATCTATAAATGTGGCACAAATATCCCCAGCCTTCACAGTCAGACTCTCCTGAATTTCCAAGTTATACTGGTATAAGCAGACACATTTTCTATTGAAAATTTGTCATTAACATAGTCCTACCTTCAGTTTTCTGCTGTAAAACTGTCCTCAAATGTTCTACAGCTTCATCCACATGTAGCCCATGGAGGTCTAACACATTCTGTGGCAGCAGGGAAGCATTGACCTTCTCAAAGATCTCCACAGCAGCAAGGTGATTGGCTTCTTTCATCTTCCGCTCATGGAGACTACCCTTTAATTAGAAACATATCACCAGTGGATACTTCAATATTTTCTACTTAGTAGGAAATGAGGAAACTAATAGTGTCCCAAATAAAAGGCACATGAAAAAAAACAACAAAACTAAAATTTTAAATAATACAATGGGACAAAAATATGTAAATGCACCAAAATTTGGGGGAATTTCAATGAATTAATAGTGCAGTTGTTAAACTACTGAATCATTATTTCTAGCATTTTCTGAACCAAAAAGAAGGAACACCACCCATGTCAAGAAAGAATCCACTGGTTTATTATTTGTGTATCTTTTGGTAAGTGTACGTCTAATCTTGGCATTCCCCCTCTTCAGCATCTTTTAAGTTTACTTCCGAAGCCATTCCACTAGTTTTGCTGTTCGGTGTCACGGGGCCATACACAATTTGATACTATTTTCTGCTTAATCATGAAATAGCTACATGGAACCACAAAAATAAAAAGTAAATGAAGCAAGTTTCTTGTAAAATGATGTAAAATCTGTACAGAAATGTTACTTCCTAGAAACATTCTATTAATGTCATTTTCTTTTTCTAACTATAAAACTTATGCATTAATAAAAATTCAAACATGGTAGAAATTGCTAGTCTCTTGCGTAATCACACATTGACATGGTCAATATTAACATTCTGTTATCTTTCCTCCAGAAAGCCTGTATCTGTTTAGAATTTCAGTCATGTGCTGCATAGCATCCACTTGAGCAACACACGACTGCATATACATCTGTGGTCCCAATCCCCATACAATGATTTGTAATAACAAACAGGTGCTACTTTGTGACGTGCATCAACACCTTATTATTATTATTATTACTGTATTATCATGTTAAAGATGTTTTAGTGTATCTGGAAGTGCTTCCTTTTTTATGCACAGAAAAGTACTCTATATTCTATGTATTAAAATAAACATTTGACTAACTGACAATCGACACAAACTGCACCTGTTTCAACTTACATATGTATTCAACTTAAAGACAGACTTAGAAACAGAACTCATTCATAATCCAATATATAATTGTATAGAACATGGTGTTTGCTCAACACCCAAATCACATAACATCCTACTTCACAGAATGCATCATGGACATTAAGGGATACATGACTGCAGTACTGAGTGATAGAATCTAACCTAAAGGGAAACATGCGCTGTCACAATAAACTGTAATTTATCAAAGCCAAAAACGTAAACACATCCACAGAAATCGAGCATCCCAAAGATGAAATTCTCAACCATACATTTATTATACATTAGATTATCTTATTAATGTCACTGATACAATCTTTCCATTACCCAGAATAACTTAATCTAGTCACAATACAGGTGTTATCTGCTTCACAATTATTCAGACATCATAAGTGACAAATAAAAATATAACAGTTTTATACTTTACCTGCTGGGCATAAAAAGTGGCAACATTTTTTCTCCCCATCTGATAAGCTTCTTTGGCCTTGGTGTAGCATTCTGTCCTCTTCTGTTGGTGCAAGAAAGCCTTTGCCCTGTAGTCATTATATATTGGGTATTCAAACTCTTGGGAAGACAGTTCACTTGGTATATCTTCAGTCTCTTTTGATTTCTTTGCCTAAAAATTATTACACAATAAATAAAATTCAAAGTAAGTGGAACACACAGAAAGTAGCACACTACTTACCTTCAGAAAACATATGTGAAAACAGCTCTCATACTTTTCACCTTTCTTCTCAGAAAACAGATTTTCACCAGTGTCTACTTACTTAGTACATCAGATCCTTAAAGAATATCATTACTTTTTAAATTATTATTATTATTGTGGTAAATATGTATATAACAAAACATTTGCCATTTTAGCATTTTTCACATGTACAATTTAGTGACATTGTGTTCAACACATTGTGCAGATATAACCATTTCCAAATTTTTCTATCACCCTTACCAGTAAGAAACTGTCTCCTAAGCAATGAACTCTTTTCCCTTCCCTTCTGCTTACCTGATAACCACCAAAAACCTTAAGTCTGTATAGATTGCCTATTCATCTCATATAAACAGAATCATACAATAATTTGCCCTTTTGTAACTGACTTATTTCACTCAGCATGGTGTATTCAGGATTCATCCATGCTGTAACACATCTTCGGACTTCATTTCTCTTTACAGTTGAATAATATTCCATTGCATATATGTTCCACATTTTGTTTATCCATTCATGTGTTGCTAGCCATTCACGTTGCTTCCATCTTTTAGGCTGTTGTAAATAGTGCTACAACGACCATTAGTGTACTGTGTCTGTTAGTCTTCCTGCTTTCATGCCTTTTGGGTATATCCCCATAAGCAGTTGCTGGATCACATGGTAATCCTATGTTTAACTTTTTGAGGAACTATCAGATTGTTCTTCGTGGTGGCTCTAACATTTTACAATCCCACTAGCAATGGATGACAGTTCTCTTACTTTTCCACATACTCACTAATTTAATCACAGCCATTGTAAAGGAGGTGAGCCATTTTTAATCACAGCCATTGTAAAGGAGGTGAGATCAGTGGTATCTCATTGTGGTTTCAACTTCTATTTCCCTAACTCTGGTGGCAGGAGCTCTGGTAGCGTAGTGCCTAAGGCACTTGACTGCTAATCAGAAGGCTGGCGGTTCAAACCCACCAGCCACTCCTCGGAAGGAAGATGGGGCAATCTACTTACATAGTGATACTGCCTCGGAAACCCAAGGAGGGGTCGCTATGAGTCAGGTCCGACTCGACGGCATGTAACAACAACAACAACTCTGGTGGCGTGGAGCCTAAGGCATTTGACTGCTAACCAGAAGGCTAGTGGTTCAAACCCACCAGCCACTCTTGGGAAGGAAGATTCAGCAATCTATTTCCATAGAGATACCACCTCAGAAACCCAAGGAGGGGGTTGCTATGACTCTAATTGATTCAATGGCAGTGAGTTTGGTTTTTGGTTTGAACAACTCATTACTTTGAGTATCTTTTCATGTACCTACTGGCCTATTTTCTTAAAATGTCTATTTAAGTCTTTGGTCCATTGTTTGATTATCTGTCTTTTTGTTGTTAAGTTCAAGGAGTTCTTTATATATTTTGTATATTAAACTATTATTCACTATATGGTTCCCAAAAATTTTCTCCCAATCTGAAGGCTGTTGTTTCATTTTGCTGACAAAGTCCTTGTATGCACAAAAGTTTTAAATTTTGATGATTTATTAACTTTTTAATACCATTAAATCTAAGCTTGTTGCCACTGAGTTAGTTCAATGCCAATCAGGGTATCTGCTATGCATAAGGGTTTCAGTGGCCAATTTTTCAGAAGTAGATGGCCCAGTATTTTTTCCAGTCTGTGTTAGTCTGGAAGCTCCACTGAAACCTGTCCACCACGGGTAACCCTGCTGGTATTTGAGACACTGATGACATAGCCTCTAGCCTTATGGCAGCACACAAGCCATCACAGTACGACAAACTGACAGACGAATGGTGGCACTCTGTAGTGGGCGGCAGAAAATACAAGGAAAAGGATAGGAACCAGATAGTAAAGGTGTGAATAACTGGGACTCAGCTCTTTATTTCCTTGAGTTAACATTAATGATTCAAGTTCCTGTTCTTACATTTAGAATCACTGTCAAAACAGATATCACCAGCAGGTGCTTCTGCAACAGACTAAGAGTAAAGATAGCCCTGCCTCTCTTGCCTTCCAGAACATCTATTCTATCACCAATTTGGAGGAAAGGAGACGGCTCAGGGTGTTGCCTAGTTGAATCTCAACTCTGAAAACAGAATTTGCACTGTATTTCAGCGTTGTGTTGATTATGAAAGAAAACAGATAACTAGGTTCATTGTTGGATATTTGGTGATTTGGTATCACGCATTGGGAAGGGAGGTAGGGAAAGAGGGAGTTTTCACTGCTTTGCTTTTTTTTTTTTAATATTCCTTTTTTTTTTTTTA